GGGGGGGGGGGGGGGGGGGGGGGCGGTTTTGGGAGAGGGGGGGGGGGGGGCAAATTTTGTTCACATGACCGCAGGGGCCCTATGACAGCCAGAACTTTGAGGACCGGTCATAAGTCCCTTTGTTCAGCACCATCATAATTTTGAAAGGTTGCCAAACAAATGGACGTTAACTGTATAGCTGAGTCAATGGTTTCTTATTCTGCATTCTATCATTAAGATACTTTCTTCTTTTTACACCATCTCCATTCTAAGTTCTGACAATATATGCATTTCCAAGAACTTCAGATATTCTTGAAATGAGCAAATAATTCCCTACTCTTTTCTGTTAGTGGCCCAGGGCTCTACAGCTGAACCAAGTGAGGAAGAAGAAACTGAGCAAGATTCTGAGAGCCCTGATAACAGCAGAGGCTTCCGGAGAACCATGGAAGCAGATTGTGGAATGGGGGATCAGATCAGCATAACAGAAGTAGCTGCAGATAGCAGTGCTGCTAGCAGCTCTTGTCCTAGTTGGCTGCGCAAGGTAACTCACTGTTGCTGTGCTTAGAGAACAGGAAAAATAAAACTTTATCTAATAGTAGTCTTAGAACTGATGGCTTCTTCCAAAACATGGTTTTAATTGGCATTAAAAAAAAACCATAATATAAAATTCAACAGTGAATTTTCATTTTTGAGAGCAGATTTTTTTCATAATTTTTCAATGAAACAAGGGTCAGAATGAGCATCTTTGGAAGGCAACAAATTCAAATTTGTGCTTGTACTAAATAATTAGAATAAAATAATTGTAATACGATATTTTCTTGTAATTTTGTATTTATAACTTATCTTGAAAAGTAACATTGAAGGAGATACAGGCATTTTTAAAAATTTCTCTAATTTTTTAGAAAAAGCTGAAGCAAGTTAATACTATTGTGTACAATATTTGTTTATGTAGATTGGATGAATTTATAATCCAGAAAAACAATTAGTTTCTCTTCTACAGTTAAAACAATTATTCATTGTAGGCGGTATTTCTTTTAATAGAAAAGGGATATTAAATTCCATTGCATTCAGAATACATCTCGAATAATATGCTCTTAATTACTGTGTTAATATATCTAATGCATAATCAGCTATTATATTCACTATCCTCAACATATTAGACAGAGCTAAAGGAAAATGTTTACTTTTTTTTTATAATTAAATTATTAGTCTCTCATTCTTATTTCTTTTGTGACATCCAACATAGACAAGTTAGATGTCTTCATATTCTTATTTGCTTGCTCTCTTTGTGGAATAGGAGCTGGAAAATGCAGAGTTCATCCCAATGCCCCAAACCCCTTCTCTTGGAAGCTTAGCCTCTTCAGGATCTGACAAAGAAACTTTTCCCTACAATGAACTGAAAGGACGCCATATTCCTTTGCCCACACCAGTTGACATTAACGAATCCAAGTCAGAGTCTTGGGTAATGTAAACTTCTATAAATACATGGAAATCATTTCTGTAGTTTGGGATCTGGGTTGGAGGAAGGAATAAGGTGCAAAATGAAAGGCTTAAAGGATGTTCATCTAAGAACAGAGAAGTAAGAGATACATGAAATTATTACAAAAAATTGAGAAAGAAATATAATTCAAACTGGTGTATGTGAGTATGTAAGCTTTTAAGGTTGGATGAAAGAAACCATCCCTCTCAAAACTATGACTAAAGATTTCTAAGAAATTCTGTGAGGCCACTGCTAATTAAAGAGCATCTCATTCTACTCTTATCTAGTAGTCACTGTTTCACAACATATGATTAAAAATGGGAAGAGAATAAAAATTGAAAACAGCACTGAAAGAAGCAGAGTTACAAAAATGATGAAGATTTTGTCATTCTCAGAGGAATATATATTCCAGGTTTATAGCTAGAACAGTAGCGGAAAATTTGTGTGGTAGCTAATTATTCTAGAATTCAGTTCCTATTATTATTTTG